TAGCTTCAATCTTTGCACAGTTTCTTCATAATTTGATCCTTGTATGATAATGTCGTCAAAGAAGCATTTAACACCGCTAATTCCTTGTAGTATTCTGTCCATGAACCTTTGCCATACTGATGGTGCTACCTTAACCCCAAACATCATTCTGTTGACTTTGTAAAGACCTTTTTCAGTACTTATAGTTTGCATATTTGAACTTTCCTCGTCCATTTGCATGTGCAGGTAAGCATTGCTTATGTCCAAGGTACAAAATAGCTTGCCTCCATTCATTTCTGCGAAAATGTCCTCTATCCTAGGTATTGGATGTTTGTCGTCTTGTATCACTTTATTCAGTGTAGTTTTATAGTCTGCACATATTCTTACAGATCCATTGGGTTTAACCACTGGGACAATTGGCGTTCCCCACTGAGCATTATTTACCTTAGTGATTATACCGGCATTCTCTAGTCGATTGAGTTCGTCTTCTACTTTTCCTTTAAGTGAGTATGGAACTTGCCTGGGTTTGATGAAAATGGGCTTGCAACCTTCTTGAAGGGATAAATGAACCTTCTCATTTGGAATACATCCAATTTCCTTTTTCAAAACATCAGAGAATTCTGTAAGGAGTTTAGAAAGATCACACAAGTTTTCTTGAATAGTACGGATATCCCCAATTTTTAAGTTAATTTCCCTAAGCCACTCTCTTCCGAAAATAGGTTCAACATTTTGTCCAATAACATACAGCTTACCAAAGTATGCTTTGTCTTTGAAGTTAAACTCGACATACACTACCCCCTTTGGTTTGATAAGTTCGCCCGTGTAAGTTCTTAGTTGTACATGAGTTTGAAATAGCTTTTTACTCAAATTTAGTTTCTTATAATCCTTGTATGATATCGACGATAAAGCTGCTCCTGTGTCCAATTCCATTTGAATTGGCTTTCCTTCTAGTGTAACTTCAACCATGAACTTGTCAGAACCATTCATTTGTATCTTATATGTGTTGTACGTTGCGTGGTCAATATCACTTACATTTTCACTGTCCTCGATCTGGTTGATATGCCTAGCTCTGTTCTTTGCCATGCAGACCCTGGCTAAGTGACCGACCTTATTACAAGAATTGCAGAATTCATCCTTATACCTGCAACTGTCAGCTTTATGGAATTTATCCCCGCATCGATAGCACCGTCCACGTAGTTGGTCAAATGTAGAGCGAACTGTATGATATTTTTCGGTCTTCTTGGTTGGGCCTTTGCTTGCATATTTTTGTTGTTGCGGCATTTTTCTTTCAGTACTTCCTGTTAGCTTAAGAACAGCAGCTGTTGTAGGATTTGATATAATGCTGCTCTCAAGTCTTGAGGATTCGAAGGAAATTGCAGCTTGCACTGATTCTTTGAAAGTACTTGTTTCTTTCTGTAGTAACTGCCCTCTTACATCATTATCTTTAAGTCCTCTAACAAACTGCATTCTTAGTAACATGTCTGATACCGATTTCCCACATTCACATTGAAAACGACAATCCTTTGCTAGTCTCTTCAGTTCCATTGAAAAATCCATCGTTGATTCGTCTTGCTGAACATGGCACAAAAATTTGTGTTGAAGAGATATAACACTAGGTAACGGTTCCAAATAATCCTTTAACACTGTTACCACATTTTTGTAATTCATCTTGTATGGATCATCTGGAGAAACAAGGTCTTGAAGCTGTTCATGTAGTTTTGGTGGAAGCACTGCAAGTAATGTGCAAAGTTTGGTTTTATCATCAGAAATTTCCTTCAAGGAAATAAAGTTTTCAAATCTTTTAACGAAGTTTGTAAATGATTCTCCTTCATCGAACGGAACAAAAGCAATATTTAATGTAACAGAAGGGTGTAGATCTACTGAAGACTGATTCGTAACTGTGGTTGGGGATTGCAGTTTGTTTCTTAACACCACTTCGGTTGTAATGTACAGCTCTTCAATTTCACTTCTGCTAGTTGCTAATTGCTCAATATCTTCTTCATCAACTAAAGATTCGAGTTCAGATTGAGCATTTTCGAATCTGTTCCAATATGTCCGTAATGATGACAACCGCACTGTGACTTCATCACTACTCATATCTTCTCTAACTGTTTTATTTTGTACAATTGCATTGTAAGCTTTCCTAATTTGAATTTTGACTGCAGTTAATACCTTTTTAAGCTTAAGTATTTCACTCATCCTCGTCGCCAATATTGTGTCTAAATTAAATAAACTTTAAGCATTTGAGAAATATATTTGAACATTGTAAAATGTACAAACACTGAAACAAAAACATTAAATTGTACAACTGACTCACAACAGAAAACAATAAATAATTAACCAATCAGCTGGTATTAAAATATTGGAAAATAGAATATTATTAATTGACACTAGATTGAATATATATCAACAGTTTAATTTTATAATTAAAACATTATGAAATTGAATTTGAGCCATTTCTAGTTTTATTTTATGAACAGAATTCAAATTTTATTTTACGAACAGAACTATTTTTTTTATTAGTAAACCTTCATTATAGCCAAAGTGCTCTCTACTATAGCGCTGTACACAGAGTAGTTTTGAACTAATGTCATCGATGCCTCATTAATACCTCCCGTAAGTCAGACCCATAATATTAGTAAGATAAGGTATTTTAATTTAGGTATTCACGTAAAAGGGCTGATGATATAATATATACTACAACACTTTAATATTATTAAAGTAGTAAATAAAGCATAAATGAGCACCCTGAAATAGTTATTATATTTTGTAGAAGTGACATGTTTTGGACATGAGTCCATTTTCAAACTTAAAATTTTCAAGGTATTTACTGTTATTTGAAGTTTGAAAATGGACTCATGTCCGAAACATGTCACTTCTACAAAATATAATAATTATTTCAGGGTGTTCAGTTGTGCTTTATTTCGGCCTAATACTTTAATATACAGGGTGACCTATTAAGAGGTTTAAACATTTGATTTTTATTACTGTACTTCCCCATTTATGCACCGAACATTTTGAAACTTTACACAATTTGTAAAATAGGTTTTAAAAATATTCTGGGAAAGTTTCAGCTCCCTAACCCTTGTAGAAAGAAAATGGTGGCATATTAAAAAATAATACTAAATTGTGATTTTGGCTTAGTAAAATATTTTTATAGTCACGTGCTATCTTACGACATTTCAGACATTACAATGAATGACTGGGAATAGGCATGCACAAGTTTTGAATGGACTTGTCTTGCCTCATTTGACGGTACCAGAAATGAATCAAGCAATCTTTCAACAAGATGGTGCTCCACCTCATTTCGCAAATCATGTCAAGCAATTACTAGATGACAACCTTCATGGCCGTTGGATTGGTCATGGAAGTGATTTTTTTTAGATTGGCCACCCCAATCCCCAGATTTAACTGTGTGTGACTTATTTTAGCATGATAACTCGATTTTGAAAACTATCTGATTTTGATGAAATTTGATACAGACATTTTAACCTGCGTTTATTCCAACGAGTTCGCAAACCAGCGTGATCGGACCATGGGAACGGGGTTTTATGGAGGGGTTTATTGGGTAAGAATTGGCTTTTCTAATTTTTAGCCATCAAAGCATAACATTTTCCTATTTCTCTCTAAACCGTTTTAAAGAGCTTAATAAATAAACAATTTTGTATATTGGAGTGTTTTGTATGGTAATTGGTTATGGAGAAAATTAAAGAAATTGTAAATTTAAAATTCCCATGTTATTCTTATGGAGAATAAGTTAACTGTTATAGTTTGCTTGTTTATAGATATATTTTGATCAAACTTGGACTAAACTATAATATTTTACCAAAAAACACACGCTATTACCCTACCAGTAGCAGCAAACCTAAGTACTCGTTAAACGTAATGTTATTGAAATGGATTGAATTGAAAATCAAATCAGGCAGATGGAAATTCGCTTAGTCTGCAGGTTTGCTGGGGCGGGGGTATTTAATATTTGTTAGTGCTGATGTTTAAAATTTAAAACTTGCATGCTCATGTTCATGTTATTAATACAGAGTGTCCTGTAAATAAACAGTCAAACTCCAGGATATTGTTCTATGAGTCAACATATACAGAAAATTAGGAGTTGCAGTAGACAACCGACCCTAATGGGATCGGACCTACGTTGGATAACTCAAAAGGTCGGTTAAAACAAGCAATCCTTAAAAACATAACATAATGACGTGCTATTCAATTGTATCCTAAGATCCTAAGATTCCAATCCAACAAAACACAAGGAATTGTTATTCAAAATTTCTTTAAATATCCAAATAAAGAGTACCATAGATAAAAAAATTGTTTTAAGAAAATTCAACAATCGCCAACATTTGAAAATGCTACAATGCACTAACCAAAGTCATAACTGCTCAAGGGAAGTTTCATATTTGATATTCGGTACCGTAAAACAAGGTTCATGCACAAGCGTACACAGTAAAAAAACAACGAAACCACAACAGGATAATTGATAACTATTATTGGGATCTTTGTTATGAATGTGTGATCTTATCACAGATCAATGAAACGTCTACAATAAGGACCACATGACAGGGTTTTCAGATTTTTTTCAATCACCATGATTACCAGTAAAAATGTTAAAAATAAATAAAGTTTTTAAAATAAATTATTTAGCCTCTGTAATAATAGGATGATTTAGATTAAAATAGACCCTCCCTTTATTGCCTTTGGTCATAAGACTTGGGCCACTTTGCGTTTTATGACCGTCTAATTTAGTGATACAAATTTCAGTAAAAAAAAAACCAGTATCCTATTTAACAAGTCATGAAATCCTAATTATACCAACTGCCTAAAAAACTCTCACACCTCAGCAAAATAACATTTCACAGAACAATTAATTTCATATGTAAAGTATATTTTAAGTAAGTGGCCGTAAATGTGGTACAGTATGGGGTAACATGAATATTATAACAAATATAACAGGCAAGATGACATGCGACATTACAACCATACTGTATGGATGCTATCATGCAATTGTTACCAACCCATCTGCGCCTCCTTCTCTTCAAGCTCAGCCAGAGCTTCGGACAGCTACGACATGTTGTAATTGTCAATTTTACAGCCATTTCTAACAATCTACTGGATGAATTTGAAATACATGTGTTGACTAACTCAGTCAAGGTTCAAACACACAGGCCTTCAAATTTGTCATGTTATCTTATGGACATAGAATATGATAATTGATTAATCGGAAGTATACATACATTTCATTCCCACGTTAAAACTGCGGTCAGTTTTAGAACAAAAATTGAGGTAGTTGAATTGAGCCACTGACTGAGATTAACAGTGAAGTAAACCAACTTTTTAACCAAACTAAACTTAAGGTACAACTTATACTTAACTATAGCCATATATACCCATACACCCACAACTATTGTAGTAACAAATTCGCTAAAACTAAGGAAGAAATAGTAGTTTTCATCTCTAGGAGAGAAAGTGGCTCTTTTTGGTACGCAATTGAGGCGCTTAAAAGCGAGGCGCAGCCGAGCTAAGAAATACAATTAAGTACAAAAAAGAAACTTTCGCTCTGTGTAATGAACAACTATTTTCATCATACTGTGAAAAATAGCCTTCTAATCGTAACAAAATTAGAGCACATAATTTGAGGTTATAAAAAGTCGTCATCAATGTTTGCACTTCTGCTGTTTACAAACATAATTAAAAATATTGTGTGATTACTGATTAGCAGCATGTTCATAACATTTATAATGTTCCATAGACAAATTTTGAGGTTAGCGAACCGAAAAAATTAGCATATGTTTTGGCTGTTTCTTATTTTAAGTCACCCGAAAAAGATGATTTTGAAGGTGATTTGACACCGTGTGTACGAGCTCAACGGCACGGGTTTTAGTTGTTACGCGGTTGGTACACTGCTGCGACTGCCGGAAGTTTCGTCTGGTAACTTTAGTGTCACACGTTTTCTCGAAGTTTCTTAGTTTGAGAGTTTTCCGAAAAAGGGGTTCTCATTCGGGGTAATTTACCTTTTGAGAACGTTGCCTGATTTTCGTCAGGGGCCCCAGTTTCACTCTAGCGCAATGTCGTTATCAGGCTAGAGTGTTATCATCCACGGGGTCGGCGACTCTACTTGAGGCCTGCCACCACATCATTACTACCCTTCACCATGGTCTGCTGGGACTGTTAACAATGATTTGACCTCCGGTGCACCACCCACCAATGGCGATGCCTACAAGGCCTACATCCACGCCGTACTGCAGTTTTGGGGAGCGGCCACTATGTACTCCTACTTCCTGCTGCCTGGACTTCAGTACGTTCAGGTCAATCTAGTCCATTTGGAGGATTTCATCGTCTGACATCCATTATGAATTTCATTTCATTTCATTTCAATATCTTTATTCAACAATTGTACATTGTACATTGAATAGTGTCAGATTCCTAACCTAGTAAATAAAGTTATAAGCTAAAGAAAGAAATTTTAATTACCGTTAACACTTTAAATGTTTAAATTATAGAAAAACCCTGTAGTCTTTTTACCTGCAATTTAATTAGCCTAATTAGGGGTTTTCTTCAAAATTGTATTTCCAAATTTCATTGAAATTAGTTTATATCTGTTTTAAATGTTCAATTTTCTTCTTTTTTTTTATTCAATTTTAATTCTGCGTCACACCCCTTGATTGAGGGTAAACCTTAAATTTTTCTTGCCCTTTACTATTAATTAAATGCTTGATGTATAGTAGGGTGGGTCGAAAAAAATCAAAAAATTTTTTTCGAGTTGTAATACTTTGGAAAAGTTGCTAAATTGTCAGACTAAAACAGGGTAAAAATATAAAAAATATTGGTTGTTATCTTCCGGTTGCGCATGTGCTCTAAAGTTTGAACAAAAAATGAAAAACTAATTTTTTATCGGAAATTTTAGCAATTTTTTAATTTTTTATTTTCAACATTAAATCAAATGTAATTAACCAAAAAATCTTCTTCTGAATCATGATTTTGTCTTGAATGTTCAGAGTCAACTCCAATGACATCATTAAGTTGTTTTCTAAGATCTTTGTTTAGCTCTTCCAACAGTTTTAGTCTTGCCAATACTTCTTCAGCGAGTTACATGATATGTTTTTGATTTTCTTGATTTAATAACAATAGTGATTAAACGATTGAATAATCTTTCTAATTCAAATCATGTCGAGGTCACCAATTTTTAGTGGAAAGAACCTCGTATAAATAGGAGACTTAATTTATATCAGGAGAAATACCTGAATTAAGGTCTAAAGATTTATACTAAATATGATTGTTTTAATTTAACATACTTTTAAAAGGTAAATAACAATCCATTGTTCATGTTCAGTGCAAATAAATTGAACCAAATTTTGCTGGAAAGCCAATAAAACATCATTGTTTGTGTTGTTTTAAATTACTCTCCCCATCTGTGCTCTACTCTTCTAGAACTTCTTTGTACGTGTTCGTGAGCAGATTCTCAGGACATTTCTATGTTGACGTATCGTTAACGGTCTACCGCGACAGAAGATAATTATTTGATAGACATTCGTTTTGGCGTAAACGCTCTACTAATTCAAGATCAAGATCCTTCTATCCCTAGTGACTTATCCCTCTGTGCAACACCCGAGCTTGGACACGACGCCTTCCCCTAGCCTAACATAACAATGGAAATTGGTGAGTGACTCTCTTTAATTCATTCATTTAATTAAGGTGTTTCCCAGCTCTATGGTTCCCAACCTAATCGGGTGGTCCTTCGAATTTTACTTATTTCTCACTCTCTAATTTGTAATTACTTCACATTTTACTCCCCCAAAACAATCAATCGAACATTTGGTCTATTCGAACCGGATTTTATGGACAGTTCTTTGGAAAACAGTGTTTTTTACTCAATTGAATATTCTCGTTGCACGAGGTGTAGCAAAAACATTAGATTCCGCCATTTTGTTGTGGGCGGCGTCTTGTTCCCCTAGGTTTACCCCTCGCGGGACAGCTGACTCAACCATCCCTCTCACGGGAAAGCTTCACTGTAGGCATCCCGCTTGCGTTACACCTAATCGTAGGTGTCCCCCAAGCGCAACCGCTCCGCTAGATAGCGCGCGTGTCTCTCTCTGTCTACCTCTCATCAACTGTTGTGATCTGTCAAACTCAAACCTCACTCACTACACATAGTGTTGTTTACATTTTATTATTGCTATAACATTATGTTATAAGGTCAATTGATTACTGTTGATAACCAACTATAAAGCTAATATAAGGTGTATTAGTATTCTCTGATATAATATTGCTATTTTTAATATTTTAATAAACAATATCTTTCCACTGGTGTTAAACATTGGTCATGCTTTTCTGAATATTATTTTTGAACGAAGTAAATGTAAATTCATTTTATCTTTGTAATCTTGTTTAAAATCGAACATATCTAGATTCTATATTTTGGGTAATTAATCAATAATTTTGTCCAATTATATTTCTTGGTAAATAGGTTAAAATAACTGTAACTGTTGTTTTGTTAATGAACAGGGTGTCTACCAGATTTCTCAAATGGAATTCCCGACTTTTTCCCGACTTTTCATTACCATTTTTATTTAAATCCCGACCAAAAACTCGGTCCATTCTTCATGTTACTACACCTTTTTCTCGCGGTCACGGTACCTTCGTCAAAATATGTTGTCACTCGCGACGCAGCGAATTCACTGACGATCGAAACAAATCATATGCCGAGAAAATCCCATATCAAATGTAGGGGTGTGTCAAGCAGCAAAACATTTCAATTCAAAGCAACGATTCGATTTTAAAAAATGTTTATGTAACTCAATTCGAAGCAACACGGAATTTTTCTATTCATACTTGTCAGTGGAGTGAAATATCTGTTTGCAATCACAGAAGAACCAGTATTTCTGGAAATATCAGTGAGCTTCTTGCCTATTTCATAATTTTTACTTGCAGCATCATGTTGTTAAGCATGTTACCTATTTTATTTTATTGATTTTATAAATAAAGATATGTTTGGGTGTAAACAAATAAAAACCATTGTAAGATTTAAATAATGAATCTTTCAATTGGTTTACATTGATAAAATAAGAGGATAGAATCAGAACTACAAGGTATACATAACTTCTTGTATGGCGGAGCAATGTCTCAGTGTATGCCATGTACTTGGATGGTAATAACTTGTATGGCTAAGCAATGTCTCAGTGAATGCCATGTACTTGGATGGTAATAACCTGTATGGCTAAGCAATGTCTCAGTGTATGCCATGTACTTGGATGGTAATAACTTGTATGGCTAAGCAATGTCTCAGTGTATGCCATGTACTTGGATGGTAATAACTTGTATGGCTAAGCAATGTCTCAGTGTATGCCATGTACTTGGATGGTAATAACTTGTATGGCTAAGCAATGTCTCAGTGTATGCCATGTACTTGGATGGTAATAACTTGTATGGCTAAGCAATGTCTCAGTGTATGCCATGTACTTGGATGGTAATAACTTGTATGGCTAAGCAATGTCTCAGTGTATGCCATGTACTTGGATGGTAATAACTTGTATGGCTAAGCAATGTCTCAGTGATAAACTTATATAATTAATGTCAATCGATTTGAATAATGTCAATAAGTTATATGGATACTGATAGTCAAAGTAACAGTATCGATGTAACAGTCAACTATGTATTTGGATACTGATTCAATAACGTATGGATACTGATTCAAAAACGTATATCGATACTGGTTCAATAACTTATATAGCCTAGATACTGGCTCAATAACGTATGGATACCGATTCAAAAACGTATTTGGATACTGATTCAATAACATATTTGGATACTGATTCAATAACGTATGGATTCTGATTCAAAAACGTATTTGGATACTGATTCAATACCTTATATAGATACTAATTCAATAACGTATGGATACTGATTCAAAAACGTATTTATGGATACTGATTCAATATTGTATGTAGATACTGATTCCATAACGTATTGATGCTGATTCTAAAACGTTTTTGGATACTGATTCAATAACGTATGGATACTGATTCAATAACGTATATAGATACTGATTTCAATAACGTATGGAT